AAAAAAAAAGAAAGGTAAACTCTACACATTTTAAAAGATGATCTCATGCCCCTCCCTCTTTTTGCAGCCAATCGACCAAAGAGCCTTCTGGTATACATCAATCCATTCGGTGGAAAGCGCCGTGGGAAACGTATTTACGAGCAGAAGGTGGCCCCAATGTTTCGCCTTGCCGGCATTGCGACCACTGTGATTGGTGAGTCCCTATCAGTAGCATTCCTCAACATTTAAATAAAAAATGAGTCTTGATGGTTGCCATATAGATCTCCACTGCCACTGTGGCCTCTCGTGGGGACTGGAGAGGCTTGCAAGGATATGATTTGGCTTATAGTGCCATTAATCATGCCACCACCTTAATGGAAGCTGTGATAGTTGATAAGCTCGGGTATCCAAACACATCTATTATTCAATAAGTGTTTGTTACAGCTACACATAGTCTGGAGTATTGATGGTCCATCAGAGGGACCGCTGTTCACCTTGGGCTTCCTACAGATGCTGTAGGTTACAGGATTGTGTGTGTGTTGCTATTATATGCCTGGTAAACAGAATTACTGGTGAAATATTGTTTTTGTTTCTATAGGCTCATTTTGCTGGCTAGTATACAGTAGCTGAATTAGGTTGAGGGGGTTTTTGGGGGTTTTTTGGGGGGAGGGCAGCACACTTATGCCTCTTCTGACCATTAATCTGCTCGATAGGTTCCAGTGAATGTTTCAAAAGTGAAGTACTTTCCTTGTCTTGTATTTCAAAATGCCTGTAATAGAGTGCTTGTTCTACCAGTCAAGCCACAAAGTGCCTAGTTATTTTGTCAGTATATTCCCTTTCATTGAATGCCTACTAATGCTTGCCATTTGATTTGTTTCCATAGTTACAGAGCGTGCCAATCATGCTGAAGACCACTTGAAAACAGAGGCCAATCTAGATAAATATGATGGGTAGGTACTTAAGCTAGGTAGCTCTTGCTTTTAGGCTTTGAAAACTGGTTCTTCACCGTGACATGAACTTGACACTTCTTTGTTTGCTCATACTTTAATAAAGCTACCGAGAAACTCGGCCATAGTTTGTATTAACCTCTGTTGTATTGCAGTCTGTGTTGTGACAGATTACGGATACAAAGTTCTTTGTGTTTCCCACATTTAACAACGGGAAAATATTCTGATCATCTTAATCACTAATCTGCTTTGTCAGGACATTTCTTAAATCTCATGCGTGGTCTCTCTATGCCACAAGTAATAAATGCTTCCAAAGAAAATTTTAGGGTTTATAATAATAAAAAAAAGTAAGTGCTCTAAAAAGCACTCCAATGTAAGATTAAGGGTTTGTAGCCATGTTAACTCTTTGAGAGCTTAAAAACACATCAGTCTGGTGGTTTATATTGGTAGCTGTTGATGCTGTTTCTTTTGTAGAATTGGGGTTGTTATGTTGCCGGCATATCTATTGTTGTTGGGAAAGTTCAGTTTAGTTTGGTGTTATGATAAGACTTGAAATTGTAGGGGAATGTTCAAAAGGTTTGGTGCTGTTTTATCATAGCGTGACAGGAAATGATAAAAATGAAAGGTTCTTTCCTTTCGTGTTTTCAATACTGGCCCGTTTCAAGGTTATTCTAGATTAACTAAAATTAAACTGAAAACTAAATATAAGTGTGAAAAATTGAGACATATCCATTAATTCAAAACTTGTTCGTGGTAATGATCCATAACTCAGTTTTAATGTTCAAAGCTTGGGTCATACACTGGTAGGTAGGGTCTAAAAACTCCAACAAGCCAATCTTAAAGGTTGCTTTTAAACAGTGAGGCAGGGAACAAAGGGGAGGATGGCTGTATATATGCTAGGTGGCTAATTAGCTGGTAGGAAATGTATCTGGCTGAAATATTCACAGGAAAATGGGAACAAAGAAAGGAGGTGGAACAAGCAACATTAAAAGCAGGTGATTAATTTCAAAATAAAAGTGATTAAATGGATGTGTATGGTCACAAGATGAACATTCATCATGTGGGCACCAACCTCTTGTATGATCTAATTTCACAGTCATGAAAGTTGAGCTTTTTTGCAAGTGGAGTAACACATTTTCTACAATTACTGACAAGTAGGGCTGCCACAAACGATTATTTTGATAGTCGACTTGTCACCGATTATTAGTCGACTAATCAGATCATCCATTGGACGTAAAACGTACAGCTTATTGCACCAGCAGCATCTGCTCTTATATAACTATCATTAGCTTACAGCTTTAAGTGTTTAAGGTATGTGCTAACT